TTTCAACCGACCCACATCAACCATACTGGTGACAGCTTCATCTGCTACTACACAGGACTTTCCGTAGTGAACCTGAGCGCTGACTTGGTGTTCCGGAAACTGCAGCACCTAAAAGTAGATACTTTCCCTGGCCCAGATATAGTTCATTCTGCCGTACTAAGGGAACCACCCTCAATCCCGGCAACCCTGCTTAGCGTGATGTTTTCACACTCACTTAGCCGAGGTAAACTACAAGAAAATTGGAAGTTGGCCCACATCACACCAATTTTCAAAGGAAGTCGACACAGCGAACCTTCAAGTTACCGACCGGTGGCTCTTCTTTCTATACCCTCAAAAATCATGAAGTCCTTGATATGTTGTAGTATACATGACTATTTACTGTCCTTAAACTTCTTCTCACCCCAACAGCATGGTTTCAGGAAGGGTTACTCTTGTATAACCAACCTGCTGACTGCGGTGGACAGATGGACAAGCATCCTCGATCGCAAGGGAAAGGTTGATATCATTTACCGTGATTTCTCAAAATCTTTTGATAAAGTTAACCACTTGTGTCTTATCAATAAGCTCAAACGACTAGGTATCGGACCATCTCTAATCGATTAGCTCACTTCATACCTAAAAAATCGACATTTTATGGTCAGGGTTAATTTCACTTTATCTCAGGCTATGGAATGTCCTAGTGGGGTCCCCTAGGGCCCAGTGCTAGGACCTCTTCTCTTCTTGATCTACGTAAATGATCTCCCTCGACAGGTAACGTCAGAATTATTACTTTTTGCCGATGACGTGAAACTTTGGAGAGAGAGATACGCAACCAAGACGATATACAGGTACTTCAGGAGGATCTGACTCTCCTTCAAGGTTGGGCAAACGATAACGGACTTACCTTTAACACTTCAAAGTGTAAAGTAGTCCATCTGAGACATGTCGCAGACTACGGTTATCACTTAGGTACCTCTTCTCTAGTAGTATCACAAGTCGAAAAAGATTTAGGAGTCCTGGTGCCCCATGATTTAAAGTCTTACGTTAATTGTGACAAAAATGAACTTCCGAGCAAACCTTGCACTGGTAACATTGAAGCGCATTTTTGGCCAGTTTGACGGAAGAACTTTCCATACAATCTTCAATAGTTTTATCCGTCCCCATTTAGAGTACGGAAATATAGTACTCCCCCCCCTCACTACAAAAGGACAAGATCACTTTGGAGCGTATCCAACGGCGAGCCACGAAATCAGTTCGCGGACTCAAATCTAAGCCTTACGAAGAACGCCTCCATTCACTAGACCTTTACCCATTAGAGTATAGGCGTCTTAGAGGTGATTTATTAATGGCTTATAGTATTCTTAACACTTCTGGACATACTCTTAAACACCTACTTAAGCTTAGTTCGAATAATAACCTAATAGGTAACACCCAGAAATCGGAGACACAACAAAGCAGAACGGACTGTAGACATAACTTCTACTCCTTAAGAGTTTTCAAATTCTGGAATTCGCTGCCGGCCGATCTAGTCCAAGCGACTTCCCAGGAGTCATTTAAGAGGCAACTTGATCTATTCTTAAGGTCTAAGGATTTACCAGTTTCATTTTTCTCTTTTATCGTTAACATAACTAGGTTCCTGCCTGGAGTTATTCCTGATCCCCTGCTGTTAGACACGGGATCCTGCTAAGCGAAAGCTTCTATTCCATTCACAACCATTTGAACCATTTGAGTTCGAAGATATAGATGGGAGGTATGTAGTATTTCGAAAATTGTTTGACCTAAGCTGAAGTGTCGTTGAGAAGGACGAATAGCACGATTATATGAGTGGATGAGTAACGAAAAACCTTCGACCAGTGTATGTCCATCATAACCAATGGAGCTATAATCAATATTGAGGACTTAGAAGACTAGTGAATTCGAGTATTTACCTACCGCTAGATGTGATCGTCAACCTTGCCCGACATTCTACTAAACAAAAAACCAAATCTTAAAGCATTATTTCTGTAGTAATTATTGTATTTTTGTTAATGTCGCACTACCGTTATGGATTTATTTACTATTTGTGACATGAAAATTGTTAAAACGTTCGTAAACATCAGAGGCATATTTGAAGTCCGTACATTACCCAGTCATGTTCAACTTACTATCTGGTATAATTAACGTAATAAAGTGGCAAGTTAGTAATGGAAACTGGTTGCTACAACTAATGATAACACCCAGATCTTATGCTTGCTACCAGCAGCATTTTGCAAACGGTCTGTGAGCAGAACTGCTGACCAAGCCTATTAATCCGTCTGAAAATCTTTTTTAAAGGGAGGATAGTCAACATAAAAATTTAACTCGCTCATCGAAATTGAGTTTGCTAACCAGTCTTTTTACGACGCTCGGACAGTTAAACGTCTAAAATACAGTAGTCATTTTTAAACCGTTGGTAAGATGGTTCATGTCTCATTTTCATCTGTCCCGGATCAAACCATATCATATTAGGACAATAAACAAGCTTTTACAACAAATCAGTGTATTGTAATAATGGTCCGAGTTTACAAATCTTTCGTATTTTAGATAATTTGTGTCTCCGTAAAGTCCTGTGTTTCCAGTTTAGATAATTAACACAAAGGTCTAGTTACGTCTTAGTCTGATGAAAATCATTATGTAATGACTTTATGAATCTGTTGTACCATTACGGCTAAAATAGTTTAGTTTGTATAATCGAACTCTATCGTTTGAAATTTTCATTCCTTACGGCTCTGTCACGAACAGGATCCCTGGAAAGAACAAGACCATGAAAAACAAAAAGTAATCCAAATAATCATTCTCGTAAAGGTATTTGTTGTTTCTTACTTGTATTTGTTTTTTTAGTATGTCTTGTTAGTTTAGCCAGTATTAAGCAATCATTTACCAAAGAAGTATTTGTGATTAATGTGAACTAGATCTTTGATCTACTTGGTAACGATCTGGGTTCGATAGTTCTTATCGGTTTACTTTGTTGGTTTCCTTCACGTTTCAGGACATTAATGTACTTGTTTTTCCCTTTAACTGTGTCAATTGACCTATAAGTAGCATTCATCTTTGTCGGTCGAAAGGTCGTGTATTATTATTAATCACTGGTGTTCATCACTCAAAATGGCTATGTTAAATTGTTCCCATCAGGGACGTCTACCACTCTCATCCTTCAGATTTTACATGGATATACTGCTGGGGGAAAATATCATCATCTGTCTTCGTAGATTCACATTTCTATGGATGAAGATGCTGAGTGTATATTTCTTTTTGTTCTTGTATCACAGTGAAAAAGTCCTTGAATTGCTTACATCCTTCAGACAGTAGTTCATGGAACCATAGTAACTTAAAGGTTACAATTATCTTTTATAAACTGATTCCAGTCCCTACCATACCTAATTTGGTTTTTGCAGCTGGTTTGTGTCATCATAATAAAGAACTCAAAGCAGAGTAAATAAACTTTACTTCGTTACTAATCCAGACTAACCCATCAACAAAGGTAGTAGGCTTCTCTCCTTATCGGCAGTTTCATCCCCACTGGTCAATTTTTGGCCGTTAGTATTAAGTCGCGCACATGAAAATGCTTGGGTTTTTACAGCCTTTGCCACCTGTGGCACTAGAACTATGCTCAACCACCCATCAGAGATTGGGCACGCTCCATTATTGTCTGCTCGGTATTCACATGTCAAACAGTTTAGATACAAGAGTTATTCATCATTCGATGAGACTGTTGATACAGATTTATTCACTTTTTGTCTTCTCTTCCATCATGAGCTTCCAAATTATCATATCTGCTATTCTTTAATTTAACTATTTCTTCAATAGTCTCTGACTAATCTTTTTTACTATCGCTAATACTACCGTTACCTGTAGTACTTTGTTATTCCGGTGACTGTGGTGATTTGGTGTGGCGAATATGACCAAGAAACATTTGTTACAGGATTCTGAGTTATTCTTAACTAACTGAATGACTATCTTAAATTCGCTGAATACGTACATACTTTCTAAACCTTGTTTCGGTTCACTTGTGCTACAGCAAAAACACTCATAAGTATGTCATCTTCTGTATAACGTTATTTCACCAGAAAACGATGGTGATACGATTTGGGATGATATTATTCCTCTTTCAGTCATCAATTGTGTTTAAGCTGTTGTGTTTTATAGTTCGGGTTCTTTAAAAAAATGTATTTTTATGGCTTCCATTAGAGGTAATCCAAAGGAAGATCATTTAAGCGGTCAGCGATAACTAGTTGCTGAATACGTATCCATCGTCGGAAATAAAAACATTCTGATTCTCAAAAACCACGAATTGCAATGATTCGTGAGAATGAAAATTATTGCAGAAATATGTATTAGGCTGATGTAAATGATTTCATTTTTGTAAATAAATCCAGGTCTTTTCTGTAAAGAAGACCTGTCAACTGCGTTGTTGCAACTAATGTAGATGTGCGTCATCAAAATATATTAAGATCTAATTTATCAAAAAAACTACTGCCCAGTGATGTTAGTTATAATGAGGGTTTATCAGTTAACAACCTTTGATCATATTTTTAAACTCCTTAATCAAATTTGTCGGTGTGCTGAAGATTTCTTGATTTCCTATTTTTTGTTACGTAATTCATTTTGTTTGTGAATGCGGAACCAATAAATTGCTTTACGTCGTCAGATTATCGAGATTTCAAAGTACTGCAGGAATAATATCCACACATTTGTTTTTTCATTTGTGAGTACTTTCGACTGTTGCCCGCTATGACGTCAAAATTTTTTGAGTCTGTACTTTGTTTAATTAAATGGAAATCGCAGGAACTATTCTGTGTGCTAATCGAGATTGTTTCTAAAACATGTCCGTACTAGTTTTGGATCGATCAATTCCTTAATCATCTTTCCAATTTTTATTTTAGATGTGCTATCATAATTTTCTTATACCTTACTTGTGGTGTGCAACTAGTTATCGTTTCTTTACTTAAGTTGAGTGCAAGATAGTACCATAATCGACAAAAAACTTGGTATATCATATCAAAATGATGACTATCCGTCTGAGTACCCATGGGTGGTGTGTGCTGATTATAAGCATTTTGGTTATCTTTCTGTACTATCTGTCGTCATTTAATCCTATCGGACATCTTAAAGGGGAAGTTACCAGTGTTCGAAGATTGTTAACCCACTGCATACATCTTTCCGAAGAAGCTGGTGGTCTTATAAAATTTATTAGTTTGAAGCATAGCCTTAATTCACGTACCAAACACGGGGGTATGCTGAAGCAAGAACCTCTGACGGATGCGGACCTGGGATCTCATCAAATAATCGTGTCGGGTTTGACTTCGGCTTTTCCAGAGCTACTAGTACGTTCTAAAGTTTGCCTATTTGTATTTATTTATTTTATAGTTGCTTCAGTTCTTTGTAAGCATTAAAAATCCTTTTGGGACTTATATCAATTCGCTTTTCATTTAGGCTACTATGTCTACCAAAATTGTAGATGGTATTTTTCTAGCACTTCCATGTGAAATACTTTTAGCAATTAGATGAAGTAGTAAATAATATTCAGATTTGTTACTAACGCCATAACTGAACTGATCAACTTGCTAAGGTTTTCTGCGTGAATGTTATTTATATTTAATACGATATATGTTATGGTTTCTATCTGAATAAGTGTGGATAACTGCCAAAGTTGCAAACATTTTTAATATAACAACAACCATTGGTCGTATTGTCATGACGTTCGTCAATTAAATGTCAGTAATGATATCACTACTACTTATATTTAAAATGAGAATTCACATATCCTAATTAACGAAACTCAGTACTAGATCTTAATTTGGTTTATCACCTTTCAGTTATAACCTCAAATGATTTAAACACATAAAACAAAGTGTTTGGAATGGAAATGAGTCATGCTGATCTTAACTTCTTGAGTTTGTTTGAGTTCATTGACTCAGGCTGTACATTACTACTTAGTTTTTTTTGCTTGTAGATTCAGATCTACCTTTTTATGTACATAATTTGGAACACTTGCTGTTATTTATGTTACAGAAAGATATGCAAGAGTAGTTTTGGTGAAGATTGTGTCTACACCTCATAGTGAACATTTTGTATGACATATTTTGGCCTGTTTTTCAAATAAGTGACGTCTGTCAAATTAAATCATTATTTTCTCTCTCCAACTACTGAGATAATTCTCTAAATTCAATCATTTGTTAAACTGAAGGTTACTTCGAGGTATTTGCAATGGTAATCTTCATTTATCATATTGTATGTAGTAATATCACACTATGGTTATTTTGAACCTCGTATTTTCCTGATAAATTGATGTCATTAGTTTCTAATTACTCTTTAATTTTAAAAATCCTGGTGAATCAGTGGTTTTTTAATTTTCTTCTCTAGGTTCGCTCGGAAGAGCATGAATTACCAACACACCGTCTGTTTGATTATAAAGAAAGTGTTTATCATTCGGATTTTCAAAGTTATCTTCCTAATGATGATCTTTTTGTGCCCATTACAGATTTGGTAATATGGGTAGATCCCTTAGACGGAACTCAAGAATATACAGGTAAGATAGTTTGTTCGTCACTTTTATTATGTAAAAAATTATCGACTTAAAGTTGTAGCTAAATGTCTACTCTCCAATGTCATTGCAGAAGAATTTACTTTTCAGAGCATCACAATATCTGAAAATAGACGTTTAAAGTCAAGTTTTTAGAATAATCTCATCACATTTTCGTTCGCTTGATAAATAAGCGTTTATCAATCTTTCAGTCACTTCATATATTTTCGCTTTAGTAAAAGATATTGTGTTTATTGAACTGTCAAACTGTAATTATCCTTAATGCACTTCATTTTTATCTCTTTGTTAATAAAACAATTTGTAGTCTTTGAGGTTTAAAATTGTTATGATCTTAGGTGTATTATTGTTTTTATGCTTGTCTATGACATTTTTAATGTAGTCTCAACATGTATGCTACAATAATTGATTGTGGGTCTTCTTTGATCCGCTTCAAACACAATTCATCGATTCTTCCAAACTCCCTTTTTTACATTATTACAAACTATTTCTTCGTGATTCTCACCTGTAGTTACTTCGGGTTAAGGAATCCGGTCGTACTCAGCACTAAAGTATGGATCACAAGAATCTCCTTCATTCGATTAGTTTATTTTAATGATCCCGTCTGCTTTAAAAAGGTTTCCGTGAAGTATATAAGGCTGTTAGATAAATAAGACTAGAAAATGGATTGTCTCACTTTTTGAAATTCATCAATTAAGTCTTTGGTTATATCTTAACCTAAGTGTCATATTTTTTTAATAATAAATCCCTTTTTCATATTTATGACATAAGAATACGTCCTGAATTTCCCGTTGAACACTTAGTTGATTGTGGTACTGAATCACAATCATTTACAGAGTAAGATCACTAATACTTATTTGTTGTCTGTAATGAAATTTTTAACATGACTGTCATTATGCTACGATATACACTGTAAATTTATACCACGTAGTATGTCACTTTACGTACACTGATATCTTTGGAGTTCCCATCTTCACTTAAGAAATTGTCTACCAAAATGACACACTCTCATCTGTCTTATTTTATCGTGATTGATAAGAGTTGTTCAAAACGGAGTCTTTTTCTAGCAGAACCTAAATGTAGAAAAACAATTTCAACTAACAAGTCAATTGTTCCTAAAATTCTTTCACCGGTTTTCAGAAAACCGGTTACAAAAGCTTATCGAACAGAAACTGAATTATGTACTTTTTTTCTCAGCAACATATGGTACTATAGAATGTGTTGCAAAATGTCAAAGTTTCTGAGTATAGTTAGTGGTAATGACTGCAAGTTTAATATTGGGAGACATTATATTAAATCTCATTAGAATCACTGGCTTTTGTAATTTTTAAGGGTATTGGTAGTGAATATTAAGACTACATTGCAATAATAGTTCTTTTAGTTGATAAACTATATTTATAGACCAAAAGATTTTCACCAGCACAGATGACAGCCAGCCAACCGTTTTTGTTTAAAGCTATATTGCGTTAATTATTTTAATAATTCAGTACTTCGCCTTTAGTGAAACGATGATTGCTTTTCGTTTCTTAGATGAGTTAATAATTTCTCGAGTATTTGATAAATCTGGTGCTTGTCATGTTCTGAAATTTTTTCACATTTCAGCTAACTTTAAATGGTGGTCATTGTAACACAACAGACCACCAGCAAAATATACGATTAATTATATAAGTTAATCAGAATTAGCCATGTGATTCGTTATATAGAAACCTAACTGAGCTGAATGAGTAAGAATGACACAATGTTTGAATAACCTACAATATGCATGACTCAATTACCAACTGACATAGAAGGTAGAAAAATACGTATTCTAGTACATGGAGCTCTATTAGTCACTTTTATACAGTTTGTTTGTGTTCTTCCTCTGGTTAACAGAATGATGTGGATTGACCTCCCTCCAGCCAATCACAGTATCGTGAGTGTGAGCGCACCGGTTACTTTTTCGCATCTTTACCTTTTTTGTATATGTATATATCTGATTAATATATGTGCCATGTAACTATTTCTCACAGTTTATGTTGTTTTATTTCTGAATATGCTATGGTAGAAGGCTTAAATGAATATGTTAGCGTCATGATATGTATTGTACTTCATGATCACCCAATAGCTGGTATTATCCATCAGCCATTTCTTAACAAAACATGTAAGTTGTGGTTTTGTATATCGTCAATTCTTCTTGGTTTTGTTTTCTGTGATTTTGTGGTGCATGCTACTTATATTGACATAAGTAGTATATAACGCGAGTCAGGAATGTAATGTCTGGCAGCAGAAGATTGGGAAGATCAAGAAAGGAAGAATGGGAATAGAAAGCAATTAGTATAGAAATGCAAGAACAATGAAGTCCGAGACAATTATTGAACATTTTGCAAATTAAGTATTATAGTATGGTTTTTCTATTTTACCAAGTAACTCTGTAATTTTGTGCTAAATGTAGTTCGATTGTCCTCACCTGCGTTCTCCTTCACTACAATTTAACTAAATATTAGTTCATATATAATACATATTTATGGATATATGAAAACATAGAATGTGTATTTAAGTATGGGAGATGATGATTATTTGACAAACGATCATGTGTATGACCTGATTTCCATCATTGGTGATTTTCCAGTTAAGTTACGGTATCCAAATGCTTTCGTCGTCTCCATTTTATCCAGTCGTTTCGTATTGTACTCCTTGTTAGCCAATCTATAAACTTTTTATCATGAGCTACTAAGGCGACTTTTTTCTAATATAGTCCATATTTATTTTAATTAAATCGGTGAAGTGGATCATTTTATATAAAATGAAATGAAACATCGCTGTTTAATCTAATTTTTGGCTATTTTCTCACGCTTCGTGAAAATTTTTGGTTCACTTTTCAAACATCTAAAATCCAGCAATATAGTCTTGTGGCTACAAATGGACACAGTTATTCTGATAAGACTTTATAGCAGCTATTTATTTGCACAAAAACGAATTCTAGACTTTTGTTTCAAAAGTGATATATCTAAAGACTTGAAAGTACTAAATCAAAGGTCAATACCCAACTTCATGAGAGCCAGTGTACTCAGCTATCAGTCGTCTTGTTTAGCAACCACCAATATTATACTGATGTTCAGATTGGAGTAGATGACTTTAATTTAGACTTGTAATCAGGTATCGGTGTTCAAAAAGTTAATCCTGTGTTTAAAAATGAGAAAATGAAGGGAATCTTGTTGTGATATCCTTTTAGTCCGTTAACCAACATTTGTAAAAAAAACACCAATATACTGCTTCGTTTAACAGCACATACTATTTCAAGCGAAGTAATAGATTTCACGTAATTATTTCAGTTAGGTAACCACATCGATGCTCATATATTGTCTGAAAGGTTTTTATTAATATTGCCTGGTTGCTTAGATTTCAATAAATAAATGGACTCGAAAAAGTAGTTATAAACGTATTCAGCAAATCAGAAAAGCTTGTGAACGATAAGAGATGTTTTTCTTTGGGACATTTACATACTACATCTTGGTATCATGTTTTATTTGGGCAAACTATATTGTCTGTAATTGCTGACGAGTTTATACTCTTGTGTATTTTGTTTACTAACTCATCTACCAGGTACAGATTTATGCACTTGGCTTCGAGATACATTCTAAAGAGCTTGTTAATAATACCCGGTTGTCCAAATCATGGTAGGTGGAGCGGAGCTCGAACCTTTGCTGCATTGACTGAAGGTCGAGTGCCTTATCCAGTAAGCCACCGCTCCTCTTGTCTAGTTATTGTTGATATTTGTCATCAGTTAATAATTGCTCTCGTACATAAATCATGATAAGTTGGGAATAGGTGGGGTGTCTTTTCCTGTTTTCTATTGATATTGTTTCTTTTGTTACTGGTGAGTGATATTTTCCTCATCATATGATTTTCCTCCGAATCAGGAGGAAACTGGTCATGTACACTAAAGCTTCCATTCTGCGGTAGTTCATAATTACAACGCAGTGTATTTGTGTTTGTCGATAAATAAATACCTCTGGAAAGATTTATGAATCCAGTAATAGTCTTCTGTACACTAACTATGTAGTTTTATGGGAAAAAATTTAATAATTCATCATCAGGTTTTCATCGTGTGATTATTAGTATGCAATCAATTTACGCATTTTCATGTTGCTCCTAAGAGTATGAAAATGATGTAAGGATAGATGGTGTACAGACCAAATCGCAACTCTACAGATCATTGTAGAACAATCAATTGAATGGAATTCATCACTCTACATCAACTTCATTGACTACGAAAAGGCATTTGATAGCGTGGACAGAACAACACTATGGAAACTTCTTCGACACTACGGCGTGCCTCAGAAGATAGTCAATATCATACAGAGTTCACATGATGAATTGCACTGCACCAATCCAATCACAATTGACGGAGAAGATTTGCAAGATGTAAAAACCTTTACATATTTGGGCAGCATCATTGATGAACAGGGTGGATCTGATGCAGATGTGAAGGCGCGGATCGGCAAAGCAAGAGCAGCATATTTACAACTGAGGGACGTCTGGAACTCAAAACAACTGTCAACCAACATCAAGGTCAGGATTTTCAATACAAATGTCAAGACAGTTCTACTGTATATGGCGGAAACCTGGAGAACTACGAAAGCCATCATCCAGAAGATACAGGTGTTTATTAACAGTTGTCTACGCAAAATACTTCAGATCCGTTGGCCGGACAGTATTAGCAACAATGTTCTTTGGGAGAGAACAAACCAGATCCCAGCGGAGGAGGAAATCAGGAAGAAGCGCTGGAGGTGGATAGGACACACATTGAGGAAAGCACACAACTGCGTCACAAGGCAAGCCCTCACATGGAATCCTCAAGGCCAAAGGAAAAGAGGAGGACCAAAGAAACACATTACGCCGAGAAATGGAAATAGACATGAAAAAGATGAACAAGAATTGGATGGAATTATAAAAGAAGGCCCAGGACAGAGTGGGTCGGAGAATTTTGGTCGGCGGCCTATGCTCCATTGGGAGTAACAGGCGTAAGTAAGTAAGTAATATCAAAACCAGACTGAAAAGTTATAATTTTACATTAAATCAAACCTTTCAAAACATGAATCAAAAATAATATGGACGTTGAAAATGCTTACATATCGGAATGTAAATAACCAATAGTTTAAAGAAACAAGAGAGTTCATTAATTTGGAAATTTTTTGCAACTTAACGAATTTTCTTATTTGAGAGAACTTGAGTATTAAAAAACCCACTCAACTGTTTATATCATCTTATTTTATCTAAGTATCCATCACTTAAATGGGAGATTTCAAATGACTGGAAAGGTTCTTGACTCTACTTTGGATATAAGTATATAGGTTTTTCGAATATAAGTCTCAATAATTACATTCGTTACAAGATAAAAGTACGAAATATTTCTCCTTATCATAAGTTATTGATTCAAATGAATTTATCTATAACGTTTGAAATTAAAACAACCATATTCTAGTAAACTAATTGTCATCAACAACGGATCTTGTAAATTATGCAAATTGTACTACTAGTCTTCAAATATAGTAGTTTTTTGAAAATAAACTTTCTTTGGATTAGGGAAAACCGTATGTTTAGTTGGAAAGATTACTCTTCAAATTCTTTATCTCAATAACTGTTAAATTAGATCTTAAATATTCGCTTCGAAATATTTTAATTCTTCGACGCATGGTAGTTCATTTGATAGATATTTTACTAACTCGATTGGTATATATTATCCTAATTTTGTTTCATCATAGACTGGGGTTGGGGTTCATATGCATTATCATCTGATTTACAAATGGCTGTAAATTCTCGTCCTGTTCATTCGTTAAAAAACGATTTGTCGATTACTTATTCACGTTCACATTTAAACGAATCACTCATAAGAGATTTGACCAAACTTGTATATCCGAAACCAGTTCATTTTATACCAGCAGGTGGTGCGGGTAAGTAGTACTTCTGTTTTTCGCTTACAAATAGATAATTTGACCATAATAATGATAAATGTTATAAGTACATATTACATCTGTTAAATGTTTTATAATTTGTTATATAGCAGATCTTAGTAAAAATATAATTTTACGGTTTATAGGCCTAAAGTTACTTATATGTAGCTCAAAAGCCCATGGTAATCGAAAACAACGAAACAATCTTAATTTTGTGGAGAAAATTAACAGTGTCGGATGTGGTAAAAAAAACTCTGTAAATATTTATTTCATCCCCTTCGGAATTACGTACGATTGTTTTAATAGAGCGCAATATAAAACTACATTAGTATGTCAGCTTCTGTTTTTAAGCACTTTTAATAACTTATCAAGCCACTGAGTTGTGATTATGACTTCATTCAAACATTCATAATAGTCCGACAGATACGAACCAAACTTTACCATCTCCACTTTAATCAGGTGATATAAACCTTCCACTACGTGTAGTTTCATTTTACCTAAGAAGTAACTGTCGTTGCTGTTATATCCCAGCGAAGATTAAATTACGAGTAACTTCTGAGAACTATTGGTGGACTAATATTATATATATTCTTATTGTATAACTATTCAGTAACTAGATTGTGTATATTTATATTCCTCCTATTATGAGCTTCATTTTGACCTATAGTATAGATTACTATTATACGATTTACTATCCTTAAATTATACTCAGCTTATTGATTATTGTCTCCAACGTTCGCAGCCACTTTTGGCTTGACTAATAAAGACTCTAGGCTGCTCATACCGGTCGAACGTCATTGGTTTCGCACAGTACTAAGACTGAATAAGTCGTATTTCAATTGACGAATAAATCACGTGATAATAAACCGGCCTTAAAGTCACAAAAGTTACTCCTTAAATTAGCCCTATAAACAAACTTCTGAGTTGTGGTGTTCAAGCATCCGGTAGACTTGTCTTTCTCGGTAATTACTTCTGAGAGTTCCACAAGATTATTTGATTGGCATACGGATAAGCGATTTGGTTTACCTATTTTCCTAAGCACCGTCCCAAATATTCCATTTATTTCGGAAAATTTCTATTAAACAGATCGTACATACTGTTTACACAATAACCAGACATTCATCTTCTTACTAATCTTCTGATAATGAACAACATTGCGAAAATTTTTATGACTGGATTAACTGACGTTAAATAGAAGTCTATCGAAGACACCATTGTAATCATTTTTAAGGCTTAGTCGCAATCTTGAGGGAACTGCTATACTTTATGGGATTCAAAGTAGTCTAACTCTCTGAGAACCTGCCACTGATCTGCTTGGGCCGTCATTGACTCCCTGCAGAACTGAGGCATTTACACCAGTATTTTTGAATATATTACACTAATCCATGGTGCTTGTGATATTTTATTCATCGGGTTGTAATTTAGCCATTAGTCTCATCAACGCAGATTCTCGTGTACCACGTTTCAGATTAAGGTGGTTACATATGAACGTCATCAACCATGACTTTTTTCTATCATACATTCACTAATGAAAAGTCGTTATATTGATTTGTTCCACTTCAAATGGTGTTCGTCCAATTTCATCATTTTTATTTTGTTACAGTATCTTTTAGAGATAACACTCGTCAACAGTTGATTTTCCACTAAGAGATCTACCTGTTGAACTAGAATATGCAGGTGATACGGTTCTGCGTAGTTAAGTCGTTAATAAAGTGCAGTCTTCTGACCGCCTTGAGTAACAATTTAATCTTGATCAATGTGGGATTCTCTTCCTCGTAATGCATAGTGTTGAATCAGCTCATGAATTGATGACATTGCATGAAATAGTCGAGCATATCGACTGCCTCACTTATCTTGAAAGTCTCATCAGTCCTGATGACCTGGTACATGACGAAATCCCGGCACAGATTTAGAAACTTCGGTTGACTTTGACCAACTTGTGGCACAAGTGGTATATCCGTCTACCAAACAAAAGAACTAGTTTACTGTGTAGAAGTTTGCTCCGTCCTAATTTATGGGCATGAATTGTAGCCATTAGGAATAGAAGATACTGGTATTTTGCCAGTGTTTGATCGTAGGTGTCGTCAAAACATCACTCGTGTATTCTAGAATCATGCAGTCAGTAATTCTGCCGTTAAACATATGATGCTATGTAAATATAACAGTTCAGTTGATGATGTAGATCTTCATCATTTGAGATACTCATTAAGTATGCCTAACTAACTCTTCCCTCAGCAGGGGATCTCTGGTGTAGGAAGTAGGCTGTACGCAAAATTAGGGTGGCAAAAACAAGACATAGCACCAGACCATGGAGTCATTAACCGTTGGACTGAGCTATGCAGATAAGTGTAAACAGTACGCTTGGGATCCGTGCGAATATCGAAACCAATTGTTAAATGACATGGATCCGAATCGTCCGCAAACACACTGGTGTATCCATTCCTTATCTTTCTTCAGACTCTAGATTTCCAAATTCCTTACATTTTTTCTTATTTCACTGATTCATCTGTTCTTAGGTCATATCTTGGATGCTTAATCTTTCCTGTTATCACTGATACATTTACTAATTTGGGATTTACCTCACCAATTATATTTCACTGTGTTCATTGGTTATGGCAACCTGATCTGATGTACACACATACCTGGTACTACGTTGCTCTTGGTTGATTGTACTTTAGCTGCTTACGTATTTACCCATATTCTGGAAGTAAAAATAAACCATAACCATTGACTGTTTTGAATTTGTGTTGGAATTCGCATTTCGATATCCGGGTTACCTTGACGTAATAATCATTCTAAACCCTCATTTTTTATTTAATTTAGTCGGAAAGTTAGACATTTGTAATGATTTATCATCGTCATAAATGAATAGGAGTACTTTTGGAAATTTCGGTGGAATTTTTTTTAATTGTTCAATTGTTAAGTGATGTAGTACGTCATTACACTTGGAATTTCGAAATGAATTTTTAGGTTGCATTGTTTGCAGTTTAATAATAAACATCGTCCTTAACTGAGCTTGAACCAAAAGGCCGTACCATTTTCTGTACTAATCAAACGAACGCTCTGAGAAACAGCTTTCGGTTTGGTAGATAAACGATATTCATCTTTCAGACCTTTATCACAATAGCTACTCAAAAATTAGATTTCGTACAAATATACGTTAAGAAACTGGTTGATAATGCATAGTCGTCAATTAATTTTGACTGACTCAAAGCTACTCTATCACCTTGATTACTTAAATTATATAGAGTGAGATTCAAATTACTTAAAGGTTCTCCATTAATTTTGATTTAGAATGCTCTGCTTATCTTGTTTGATTTCAGATAATTATGTTACGTTCAACAAATTTTGATTTTGGGAGTTGTTCTATGAAACTTATCCTGAATAGTTATCTAATGTTTTAATAAGTTGATGAATATTATTTTAAGACTTCAACGTAGTCAATGTATTGTATGACCATACAAAAATATTAAATACTTTTAGGAACAGTCACGACTATCAAAGGTAACATAAATACGTTCTCATGACCATTTGAATTTGTTAACAACTGATGCGAAATGAAGTAAATTGTACTTTTAAAGTATGTAACATAGTATTTTAGTAACTTTCAGGTTACATGTTTGTTTATTACATAGGCTTTAAAGCTATCAGTCTTATCAAAGGAGATGCAGATGTGTATATTCACCCATCAACTACACGTCGCTGGGATGCCTGTGCACCACAAGCAATCTTGGAATCTGTTGGTGGTTGTCTTACCGGACTGGATGGTTCTCCTCTTGGATTTGGTTCAAAATCTTCTCCAGGTATACAAAGCGAAATGGGCCTTTTCGCCGCTGCAGACCGTGTGTTGTATGATAGGTGGAATACCAAAATTTCCGATTTCTTTAAAACGTGAAGTTAAATTTCATTTCCTTACATAATATCTGAAGTTGTTTCATATCTTTTCTATTTGGAAATTATGCGGTAAGCATCACTAATAGTAAAACATATTATCAAAATTACACCAATATAATTTATCTTTTTCCAATCGACTCTTGTGTTTCACAACGATATACATTGCTACGATGATAGTTTGATACATATTTTCATAAAACTAATATATCCAATAAAATGCGTTCTCTTCTGCATTCCTCTTAATATATACTAAAAAATGATGCTTTCTTCTACATATGGATTTGTTGTCAAGCTATAGGCTTTATAAATTTTGTTAACAGGAAACAAGCAAGTTTAATCTATCCCTCCGAACATTCATAACTTGAATATAAACAGCTAATGTCAAGGAACCTGAAAATACATAACAACAAACGATTTGGAATAAAGTAAAAATTTTCGAATGAACACCAAGAACTCTGTGGAGCCCCCTGATTTTCAGGTACTGAGCACATACTTTGTGAGTGAAGCGGGTTCTCTTGTGTACATAATATGGAGTTTTGAATTAATAGGTGGCTGGGATCAACTTGGGATGCATTGAAAACTAAGTTGCTTGTATTTGACTGGATTTGAGTTGGTGGTATAAAAGCGATTGGTGGCGGAGGCGGAGAAGGAGGGGGTGGAGGTGGAGGAGGAGGAGGTAGAGCTACATTGTTAGTGTAATGAGGCTGCAATTGGCTACTACGCTGATGTGCCCACTGTCGAGCTAGGGCTCCCCAGCCATCAGAATTATCCACTTTTTCCTCAATGGATGGTGGGGGGCCATGAATGAGAGATTTTGTCCAGGCAGCAGCGGAGAAATGAGGCCACATAGCTGGAAAACAACAGACATTAGTTAATAACCGGATTAATAGTTAATTTTAGCTATCATCTGATTGAAAATCATAATACATTTTAAAAAATTAACAAAAATACGAATTCCAAACGTACATTAGTGGATCTACAACGGTAATAAGTTTGGCCTTATTACCTGTTGGCCAAATGTAGCTATTACACTAACGTGTTGGTTAAGGCTACCTATCATAATGACTCAATCGAGATGCACTAGATCAGACTTTCGTTCCTGTACGTCTTACCATGCGAGTAAAATGATTTGAAAAAAACGGTACCATTAAGAGCAGCAACTTAATGTCCTAAGAGAAGTCATACCGCTGACCGCACAAATGCTTGGCTCATATAACCAATATATGAAACGATGGTGACTTCAAACAACGGGGAGGGGTAAGAAATGTCAATGTCTAAAAATGTCACAACTAACCCTAAAGACTTTTGTCTCTGATAGTAAGACCTTTAAAATAAATGTTATCTCTGGCCCGCTAAAATCGTGTAATAAACTACAAATAGTGGAGATCACAAAAATAAAACGTGCCGAATATCACAACAGGATAACAAAGATAGGACTCCAGAAGATCGTCTGCAGCTCTCCAGTGCAGCGGTCTCGCATATGAGGCTATAGCACTAAGTTCACAATGAGAACAGACTCTCTTGAACTAGACTCTGACAGACAGTCGCTTTTGTGCTGTCCGATTAAACGGGACAAAACCTCGATAATATGAGAGCACACCGTTGCCTCTGCTTACGCTTTGGATCAAGGAGAAAATGAGTCTCATGGAAAGCCTTCCGACCTCCAAAAAGCCAAACGCTCAGATATAGTCCTGGTGGGAGGTAATTGTTATTTTTAGGTAGATAGTTTAAACTAAACTGAAAGGCAATTAGGTGGGTCTTATGGTATTGCGGCTCGCAGAACAGATAACGACAAACGGATGCAGTAATTATGCACAAATAACAGTTTGGTTATAACAAGCACCAACTTTAAACATCATCTGATACGGCGACCTCACAATCGAGTCAGCGATGGACGCGAATAGACCACATCGCTATCAGACGTCGTTGGAGGGAATCAAAAGTAGGCTGTCGACCGTACTGGGACGCATGTTTAGACTGGAGTTGCAGTCTAGTGCAAGCATATATTTAGCTGCATCTTACTGGACGTATGAAAGGCACAACAAAACCCCTGAGGTTCAACTTGATGAACATATTTCAGGAACAACTAGAGAATCAACTAGTTAATCATGAATGATATTCACCCCGAGGCAGTCGGACATGATGCTCAAACAGCTGTGATACCTACCAGTAACTTGGGCCAGAACGTGAAGAGATATAAATGGATTTCAGCAGCGCCCACTGAACTGATGGATGCTCGAGAATTCATCCCGTCTTGGTCTGAACACGATAAGAAGCGTTGGCAGCTTAAACGCAGCCCAATAAAAAACCTACGCAATGGTCACCTAAGGTTATTGGTACCCATTGAGTATATCCAACTACCGCTTCCTTCAACAGGGATGTCTGGTGTAGGAATAGACTGTGAGACCAGTGGGAGGCGAAACTAAGACATGGCACCAATCCATGGAGTCACTGACCGTTGGGCTGAGCTATGCAGATAAGTGTAGACAGCATGGTTGGAATCCGCGAATATCGAAACCAACTGTTAGGGACTTTGGTTGACATGATCCAGAATCTTCGCAATAATGTAAATGGATTCACTCATCTAAAACCTGAGTCCCAAAATCTCGATACATATTCTTTTTTCCATACCTGATCTTCTCAATTGCTACTCTCAGTAATCTGGGATTTGTCCTCAAATGATCTTATTGCAATATGGTGATGCGGTCCGGTAAAGCACCACTTTAATGTAGTGTACAAGTAATATAGATTCTTTTGTGCTTGTTTTGGACTAATATTTATTACATCGTCATAGCATTAGGATATGAAAGTTGTAGAAGTGGGTTTCACCTTATATCACAGGAAACAAGAAGCAAGTGGAGAGATTAGTCATACTGTTTAAAAACGCAAATATTTCATTATTTAATAGAACGAAATGGAAAATGTCATACTTAAATAAAATGCGGAATTAAATGACCAACTTATGTCTTGAATGTTTTGATTCTAATAAGAGACTACCAGTCAACTCTTTGCTACCTAACTTCGGCTGTTGCACATGCACAAAACAAGTAGAGTCTTACTGAAATGATTTAATTTATTAGATAGGACGGATTAGAGGAGTAAATGGGGCGATCCATGGCGTGCAAACTCACTATTTTATGCTAGTCATTCTTAGCATTGACAATTTCGACAAACTATTCTAAGTTCAGTGGTCAGACTTAGAAATGGTTCAGATTGATGGATGATTTGGCCAGGACTCAGAAAGGTCTCACTAGGCCTACAAACTCTTCTATAAACTTCTGTTTTTTATTTAGTTCACAGTCAAAAAATCTAATCATAACGATGACAAATGGTTTGTCAATACCTAAGTACCGGCCAAGAACTAGATATGTAAGCGTCTGAAATACACAAAGCATCTCAATACTGTCGTATCATAAATATGCATCTGACTAGTCCCGACAAACTTGTGACATCCAAACCTATCGTACACCATCAGTTGCCACAGCTCAAAATTAATAAGATCCTTGTGGGAAATACAGTTCCAAGAAAAGCAGAGAATATTCCGCCCGCAAGAAGATCAAATATACTGTAAGTGGTGACTGTCACCGACTACAGATCTCGCCAACGCGTCCAATGGAATGGGGTCTGGGTGATGAAGCTTCGTTTTGCACAAAAAATGCCGAGTTTTGAATATTCATTTACTGTCTTTCTGAGGATACCGTAGTACATGAATTCGGGTTTTTCACATATTGTTGTAACAGCATAGGTTGGTTGGTTAAGAGTTGACCCCAAACAACCAAGCATATGCCAAAACAGTATTGTTTAAGTATTCATTCACTTCCTTATTTTGTATAAGCGTTATATTCCTTATTATCTTATATTGAATGCTGAAAGCCTTTGTTTGTCTGAACAGATAGTCCCACGCTCCACTGTTGCTGCGCTAAGATCGAAATAAAGAAATATTCACTTTTTGTCTAGCTTTTTTCTATCAATAACACGAGGGTTATCTATAGGCACGAAACTGGTGAGCCCGACTTAGATCTGGCAATACTGGGGATGGACTTTCTAGAGAGATACGAATTTCTTGTTGACACCAAGAAACGGCGATTAACACTAAAAGAAACTTCGTTTTACACAAAAGGCAAAGAAAGTCACATCCGCTCTCTTAACTTGATTCAAACCCCTCCAGTAACAACAGCGAAATTCCAAGATATACTCGCGGAATTTCCAAACTTAACCAAACCAAACCCACAGCCTTCCAGAGACAAACTAAAAGTAAGTCACACTATCAAAACCGAAGGTGCACCGGTGTTTGCAAAACCCAGGAGACTAGCACCAGATAAGCTCAAAATCGCTAGAGCCGAGTTTGATTATATGCTACAACTGGGTATTATCCGTCCCTCTGATAGTCAATGGGCATCCCCTTTGCATATGGTCCCAAAGAAGAATGAAGGTGACTGGCGACCGTGCGGGGATTACAGAGCCCTCAACCGTCCAACCGTACCAGATAGGTACCCAATACCGCATATCCAAGATTTCACAAACGGTTTACAGGGTATGAACATATTCACTAAAATTGACTTAGTCAGGGCATATCACAATATCCCGGTGGCTGATGAAGATATCCCTAAGACAGCTATTACAACACCCTTTGGCTTATTCGAGTTTGTACGCATGCCATTCGGCCTGAGAAATGCGGCACAGACATTTCAAAGATTCATAGATAACCTACTTCGAGATATGCCATTTGCGCAGGGGTATATAGACGACTTGTTAATTGCCAGCCCCGATTTGCAATCACACGAAGAGCATGTACGAGCAGTGTTGACAAGATTGAATGAACATGGAATAAACATACATCAAAGTAAGTGTGTTTTCGGTGTTCAAACTTTAGAATTTCTTGGTCACACAATAAGCCCAGAAGGGATTA